ATCTGATTCACAAATTCTCTTACATGTAAGTTGAATGAATCAGAAGAACATAAGACCATTGTACTCCCAGGTTTTTCTCTAGTGCAACGTGTAGGAACGGTTCAATGGTAAATACATCACATCCTATTGTTCCAAATAAACAGTTCGGTATAGAGAGACCTATCCCACTGAAAAAATCGTCGTCTAAAAGGTGTTTTATATGGAGAAATTAAAAATCGCAGCCATTGCACAGTATACTAATAATGCAAGTGAAAGAAAAGAACCAAGGACTTTAATTTAGATCCCCCTCCTAAACTGAGATGAAGGTTACAATGTAAACACAAAATGCCTTATTTGGGACCAAGTCAGCAACCTTTCAAATAAAATTTGTGTTGCTTGAGCCCCATTTTCCATACTTCTTCATAAGCATTCGCTGCATTGCAATTCTTCACCTTTGTTCGTATGGCCTTCATTCATGCTTTTAGAACAATTAATTGATATCGTCGGTGGTTTTATCCACGTTAGGCTAGCCAAACCAGAGATCGTAATTGGCATCTTGGTCAAGAGGTCATATTAGGTTGGCAACTAAGTCATTGCCGATTTCAACTAAGAAGGCAAATTCGGAATTTTTGTTTAAAAATACAACTTTGTTCAATTAGATATTGGCCGTTCTTGTCGATGACCTTTTTCCATCGTTCTGGCAGAGTAAAAATTCCCCGTTCGTAAAATGTCTCGTCTTTGCTATTAAAAAACTGAATTAGGTGTGATCCCACATCATCCGCGTTGTTACAAATTTTACTATTTAAAGAGTTTTGCATGGAACGAAACAAATGGTAATCCGAAGGCGCAAGCTCAGGGCTATATGGTGGGTGTGACAAAATATCCCAACCCAGTTCCAATAATTTTTGCCGAGTAACCAAAGATGTGTGGGGCCTTGCGTTATCATGATGGAAAACAACACCCTTCCGATTTGATAGTGCCGGCCGCTTATCTTCAATTCGAGTTCTTCAACATACACATTTGAATTTCTCGTTTGGTTCTGCGGCATGAGTTCAAAATACAAAATTCCTTTGTGATCCCACCAGACTGACAGCATAATCTTTATTAGGTGAATCTCTGCTTTTCATACTGTTTGGGCTGGTTGATCTTGCTTCACCCATGATCTCTTGCAAGTAACATTGTTATAAACTATCCACTTTTCGTCGCCAGTAACTAGGTTCTTCAGAAATGGATCATTCCCATTGCGTTTCAGTAGCGAATCACAGATGCTAATCCGTTGCGTCAAATGAATTTCCTTTAACTGGTGAGGGATCCATAAATCAAGTTTCTTGACATAACCAAGAGTTTTTAATTTTTTTTCAATGCATGTATGCGACACATTGAGCTTCTCTGCAATATCTCGTGTTGTGCTGTGACGATTTGAATCGATAATGGCCTTGATATGGGTTTCATCCACTTCGACTGGACGGCCAGATCGTTGTGAATTTTTCAGTGAAAAATCACCGGAACGAAATCTTGCAAACCAATTTCGACACTGCCTTTCTTTTAAGGCTTCATCTCCATATACGCCACATAACTTCTTTTGTGCTTGCGATGCGTTCTTGCCTTTTCGGAAGTATTGCTATAAAATGTGTCGGAAGTGCACGTCCTGTTCTTTCATTTTTAAATTGGGATAAAAACAAAACTAAAGAACTAAACAAAAAAATTTTTTACTAATTAACCTAGAAGCCCATACAGTAAGAAAAAAATATAGGTTAGATGCTCTGGCCACGTTAACAAAACAAAAGAAAGTATAGAGTGAATCTGTCAACAAAAACGGCAATGACTTAGTTGCCCACCCAATAGTTGTGGCTTCGAATAAGGTGTCAGATCACCCAAGAGTAGTTTTAAGGTAAGAGAAACGTGATAGTTTTATTTAAACTAGCTCAAAAGAGGCATAACTGTTTAATTTCTCAGAAGAACCCCACATTTATTTCAGATGTCATGGCTTTAAGGAAGCATATCCCAAAGATTGACCTCCAGACAGTGCTTAGTGATGCGTAAAGTCTGCGAAATGTGTATCCTGGACAATTTGGGAAGGGCTTATTTCCTGAACTTTGAGGCATGATAATCCCCCAATATTTTCGTCAATCTTTTAACTTGTGCGAAAGGGCCTAAGCATTCAGTAAACATCACAATAGTACCTTTTATAAAACCCATTAGTATACCAAAATAGCCTACAGACGACTGTAGTGAAAAATAAAGTGTAATTTGCACTAATGAGGAACTTCACTCAAAAATTATGCACACCAACACCACTGTAATTTACCAATAACTTACAAATTAAATTTTAAGAGGATGAAATGTTTCCTTTTTACAGTTAAATTCGAATTATTTAGAATACAGCATTGTTTATAATTGTTTTAATAAAGAATCTATGACTAAAGAGAATTTGCAATAATGGTGGTAAGAATACACAACATAAAATAAATTTCCTCAAGGAAAAATATTTTTTTCTTCCTATCTGCCCTGCCTCCTCAGATGCGCCTGGTACTTATTCCTTGTCAGAGGCGTATTTGAGCAATTGGCACTCCCTCATTCGCAAGAGAAACAAGTTTAACTAGACCGATTTCCATGAGTTGCTCCACTTACTTTAACATAGTGACGATTCATTAGGTCAAAAACGATCAAGTGTTCAATCCGAATGTGGATGCAATGCCCAAGACATTTTGTGGCCTTGATCATGAATTCTAGGGGATGCAAAGGTACAACAACCTTCTTCAAGTCCCTTTAGGTGACATATTTTGCTCATGGAGTGATCAGGATTCATTGTTGCTCGGGCATGTTAGATACTGAAAAGAATTTGATTATGTAATGTTGCATTACGTGTTTGGGATTCGTTACTTCAAGCTATCATCAGTCGCCTGAACTTGATTTGCAGTAGGAAGCACCTTAGTGGAGACTAATACAGCCGGAAACTTAGTGGTTTATTAGAAAATGGTATAAAAGATATCTGAAGGCATTCTAACCTCGATTATCTTTGAAGCATTTCAGAAATGGTGCATAATATGTTCTCCTTACTATTTTTATTACCTTAGAAGCCTCCCAAAAATATTTCAAGTCAGAATTTAATAATGGTAAGCAAACACCTCAAAGATAAGCTTTACTTCAGTTTGCTCTCTGTAAGTTAGCACATTTTGCAAGTAATTAACAATAAAATTTGTTCTTCCAGTCAAGCATTTAATCGTTAGAAATGCATTAACTGGAATGCTTCATTTACTTTCTTGGGAAAAATGGTCGCACAATTAAATTATTGATACTACTAATAAATTTTCAGTAACAGTAATATATTCAAAAATGTCAATAAAGTGTTGACATTAATGAATCAGCTCAATCATTCAAGTCCAATCCCAGTATTCGGTCTTAAAATTACAAATGATTAAGGGTATCAAACATACTAAAGGTAATAAACACCAGGAGTTTTGTAATTAAAATATACAAAAATGAAACAATTAGAAATTGATTGTACTAGGATCTATACTACACAAAGATCATTTATACAAATCATGAGAACCACTTATTGATAACATTAGAGGGACCCTTGGGCTCCTTCTTAGCACTATCGAGTTTCTTGACTTCCTCTTGAACTTGCTCCTTGTCTTCATCTGCGGGTTGTAAATCGTCTCTAATTTGAGAGGAGTTCAGTATCTGTTCAATCTGAATTGAGGGACGCTTCCCATCCTTGAAAATGTCGGGAAATTCAAACTCATGACCTGGAGCCTATGAAATGGGAAACAAATAAAAGGGAAAGAGTAAATAAATCATAAAAAATGAAGATGTAGCATCAATTTTTTAAACCCGCGTTACTAACAGGCTGAGGTTACAGGTCCACTTCATGCATTCAGATGATTACCTTTGAAAAGGAAAGTGTAACATTGGAAGAACGTATCTTAGAAACATTATTAAGAGATTCATCTCCTAAAAACACTGGCGTTAATCAAAATAAGCAAATAAAAATGACTTGGATGAATGGATCTCATGGAACCTCAACTTAAAAAAATCGAGCACAATTAAAAAGCAGACTTAATATATTTAAGCTTTAAAAAAACTTAACTTCAAATTTGGCCACAGTTCCCTGTCGATAGAGTAAATAGTATAGAAACGGCCAACTACCATCACACAATGGGCATTGAAAAGACGTTAAAGCAACATTAAAGATTTTCAGTTTGATTAAACAAAATTTTCCAAATTTGGCTATTTTTTCGAAAGAAGGAATAGGAATTTTATACAAATGATAAACATACAAATTTAGACAAAATTGGTTTGGGTCTAATAATATTAATATTAATATGATTAAAGGAAAATAGCATTCAAACTTCACCAAACGAATATATAATAACTAGTTGACAAGAAGGGAGAGGATCTTACGAGGTGAACATAAGCAACTTTCTCGTAGCGTTCAGATTCTCTGGGAAGAAGGTGGGGGAAAGCAGAACCAACGGTGAATCTCTTGTCCTCAGCAGCATCCAAAGGATGGACTAAAAATGAATAATTCAAAAAAATGACCCAAAATATATGCATTAATAATAGAATAAAGTAAACGCAACCAATAAAGGAGCAACTCACGATCATGATAAAGCATCTTAACACGAACACCAATAACGGGAACACTGTAAATCTTTTCTAAATACTGTTTCACATCGAATTTTGTCATTCTAAAAGTAAGATTTTATCAAATAATGTCAAATAAGATAATGAAAATAGCAGAAAGATTACTGTGGATGAATTTTAAAAATAGCAAGACGTTTTGGGCAATTCTGTCCAGGGTAAAGCATTTTCATCCAAAAGGGAGGAAGGAACATTCTGAGTTGTGGATCACCAGGAGTAAACTTGGGATAGACCACATGACGATTCCAAAGTGGACTTTAAAAAAACAACGGAAATAAGTCATACTCGAAAACCACAAAGTGCTTGAAGATACGATACTTACACAAAGTGTTTAGTTTTCGGCAACGCTATGGGATTAAAGTATACTACCGGACGCATTATCTAAAATAGTAAAGGTGAACAAAAAAGAAATCACCAATAATTAAATAAAGATGAGACAAAAGGAAAAATTTTAATAAGAAATGCTATTAGTTACGAAACGTGAGAATCCACAACCTTGTGAACTCGAATATAGAGCGTTGCTTGCAGTAAGACCAAATTAACTTTAGTGTATTATAATTCTGAATTTCTATAATACTTATATTTATTTTTATTTCCATAACAATATTTTTTGATGAAACAGATTTAAGTTTTAAAAGTATGAATTTGACATCTTAAATTTCTTTTTTCCATGACACAAATATAGAAATTATATTTTATGAATTTATTCTAAAGCCGAGCTTTCGTAGCACTTAAAATATTTTTCGATTTTAGAGTACTATGAAAAATAGTCAGTATATGGGTAAGAATGTTGATCTATTTTACATCCGCTTAAAAAGTTACATTCTATCGGAAGGACTGGTATAAAACATTAACTCTTTCGAATAGTAAAACCAATAACGAGTTTAAGAGCATGATGTACATTTTACAACTGCGGTGAATGAGAGCTTATCAGCTTAATAAGTTTGTGCAAATAATTTTTACATTAAATTAGCAAGTCACTTCATCGTTGTAGTTAAATTAGTAAAGAGGCGATTGTGAAGCCATAATAATTTATCGATTAGGTAATTAATTGCACATATATATACATTTTTATGTGTAAAGTCTGCAAATTCTGCTTGCCTATGTTTCCTTATGAATGGGGGCATCCATTTTGCAACCATATGTAGATACACATCGGCTCCTCGTGGTGGCTGTTGTTAAAATCTTTCCATTTAATATAACCGTTTTGGGGGGATTATTCATTGTTTAAACCAAGTATAGACGTAAATGGTCAAAAGATAAAAGATTGTCATAGTCATACTTTAACTCTTCGCGAATGGAAATGGGCTTGGGTCTAGCATGAAACATTAAAAGATATGGTAATGTTCTTTTCAGTTTATTGGGTCATCAGGATTCCAAATATATGGCAGTTTGTATAGAACATTCAGACGTATCTATACAAAACTTTTTAGAGGTATGACATATGTGACTTAGATTTAAGTTTTAATTGATCAAAACCAAAGTAATCAAAAGGTCATTTTCAATTAGTTTCAGCAGTGGCCAAATTTTCAGATGCCGATCAAAAAATTTAAAAATAATGGATATCACCAAAGATTAAAATAGTGTTTTCGAAAATGAAAAGTTCGACGAAATTGTCATCGACTGTAAAGGCAAGAAAGTTGCAGAAATTGTAATGTATTGTTAGTTTTTTGGGAATTACTATGATTTAACAAAGCGTAAGTCAAATTAACGATAAATGACATTCAGAACTTTCGCCCTGGTTTTACAAATCTCAGCTGAAAAGTGAAGGGTGTTAATCATAGTACTGGTGATTTATATTGGATTAGATTGGTGCTGTACACCTTTATGAAAAAATTTAGATATTTTTTATTGCCATATCAAGAAATGGAAAAATTTTCTATTTAGAAGTAGAATACCTATGGAGGTAGATAGGTAGATAGTCTCAAGAGGTCACAATCTCATTAGTAGCGGTTTTGCCATTCATTCTTTTACTCGAATACGTATAAATGATAATGTGAGAGATTGGGTAGGATCATCGTGTTCTTTTGATCATTCAAATTTTGATGACAAGGCCATGTCGGACCATCTGAGCATTATTTTTCATGTTTACAACAAATGGCTGGCCATGCTCAACAGGGGAATGAACTACCACAAGACCATATTAATTTCCTCAAATTTAAAACTCAGTTAGAAATTATTTATGTTATTGAATCAAATAAAATCAGATCTATCACAGCAATTTTGAAGGTTCCTGTTCTCAATAATATAATTATATATATATTTATATATTATAATGTATACCGACCAAATTTACACTTCCTAGTCATTATTTATATTGCTGAAAAAAATTTTAATAAAATATACGTTTATCTTTCTTTATTTGTTTTTTCAAATCAACGGGCTTAGCTCACTAATTCGTCGCCGCCACGGGGTTGTTTGTCGTTCTCTCTATTTTATTATTAATGGCTTTGGATGCTCAAGGAAATGAAGTCGGGTATGTTTTATGGCCTATATTTTATTCATATTCTAGAAAATTGTTTGTCGGAGGTTTGCACCAGTCCACTAATACAAGTAAGTTATCTTATCTTCTCACATGTTTAGGTGGATTGCACAATTATTTCTCTAAGTTTGGAGATATCGAGGAGTCTATTGTTATGATGGATAACAAAACCGGGCGTTCTAGGGGTTTTGGTTATGTAAAATTCAAAGAACCATCTGCTGTTGATCAAGTTCTTTCTAAAAAAGTTCACGTAATTGACAATAAAGAGGTTGATCCCAAAAGGTGCAATATTAATATGCGTGGAAAAGTTCGTTTTTTTCTTGTCTTATGCTTTTCATTAGAATAAACGAAGTCTAAAAATTTTTGTTGGCGGTATTGCTTTTGAACATGATGAAGAAATTATTCGATCGTTTTTTCAATGTTACGGAAATGTGAGTTCGAATTTTGTTTGCTTATTGTAAATTCTTGTCTAGGTAACTGATGTTAACCTTCTTTCAAGCCCTGGTCGACAAAGACACCGTGGTTTCGCCTTTGTCGGTTTTGACGATGAAGAGGTAGTAAAACGTCTCATCAAATTGCACTTCGTTAATCTTCACGGCAAACAGGTAGAAATCAAACCCATGGAACCTCCCAATGCTCAGAAAAACTTCAATTACACTTTCAACCCTGGTGCGTTAAATTCTCCTAACTGTAGGCCCCCTGTTCGTGGTACCCAACGATTTAATTCCTTCCACCAAAATAATATGTCCTGTGAGTTACACTCTCAGACGCGGTAACTAGGTGTTTCCCCATACCTAAAAGATTTTTAAGTAGCTCAATCATTTCCCTTAGATGGTAGACTGAATCACTGGGGGTCAAATGGAGATAGCGGGCGGTTGGATATGTCTGGAGATGCGAATGGTTGGGCTAGTCAGGTATTGGCGGCCCAACAACAGCAGCAAGGACTCAACCCAGCTTGGAATTCTCCTCCTAATCAACATCAGTGGAATGATCCTACACCCTCCTCTCCTCTAAATGGCTCTTGGGGAAATCAACTAGCTGTCGCGGCTGCAGCAGCTTTCCAATCAAATGGATTTATATCTCCATCAAATCAACAATCCTGGGGCCAGCCTACATCACAGAGAAGTGAGTACTAGCCTACTTAAACCTTATTCGCTTGCACGCGAGAGCTCTCTGTTGTTGCATGTGCAGAGATTGTTTTCATGAACTTCTTTGGCCTATATTTTAATGAGGGGTCAACAGAACAGAGCGTGTTCTCTTTTGTCAGTAAGTGTCTTCATTATTGACCACTTTATGAACTTCCTATCCCCTTGTTTGTCTTCTTGCTAGGTTGATTATCATAATAACATGCTACCAAAGCCACTTATTGGATCTGAGGTAGTGGAACGCGGACCATTTATTATCTGAATGCTTGAATGCACATTCGAATTGGTTGTTATGCTAGCTGCTTTTCGTTCCCCTGTGAATGATCTTAGTGACGTTTTATATTTTACGTACGATTTCCTCTATTTTATTTCCACCATATGAGATAAACCTGATTAAATCATTGGTTTGTTTTATGGGTTTCTATTCATCTGGGCCAAAATTTAGCATATTCACCGTACCATTTTGAATTCTTCGTTAAGCAGTATCAGAATTGTCTTGCACTTTTTTCAGTTCTATTGTGGTCAGTAATGTGGGTTGTAAATAAATTTTTGTTTTTTGAACTTGGTTCTTAGTTCATAAATCTCTACTTATATTATTTCATTTGATCCAGTTCATGTATTTTTTCTCTATGCTGAAATAAGGAAATTCATTTATATTTGGATAGCTAGACATGTTGTCCTAACAGTTGAAATTGTGATTGATTTTTTGCAGTTCTGTTGACTTCATTCCGTTCCGCAGTTAAAAATCTGGTATATTTAGAGTAGCACTAATATGATAGTGGAGGAAAGATGTAATCTAGCAATTTGGCTGGTTCATCGTCGTGCTGAATATGGTCTGTTTTAATTGTGCTAAAAAATTCGCAAGAAATTTTTACCGTTTAATTTCCTTTTTGATTGCTTTACTTACAGTGACTTCAGTATAAACTTGAAGTGCTTCAACTCCCGAAATCCTAACTTTGGTGCTAAAACTCGTACTAGCCTTACTTTGGTTAATATTTGATGTTCATTATGTGATCTTTAATGGAGGCAGTATCCGTTATTTAATCTCTTTAAAACTCAAGATCATTTATTTTATTGATCTCATCTATTACTTAATGTGTATTATTTTGTAGGCAGTATCTCCCTTTTGGTAAAATTTTTCATAAACTTGCTTACAATGCTTTCTACTTTATATCTAATCAATTTCAAATGTAGCACATTTTGTTTAGTAGGAATTTTTTTGAATATTTTGAATGAATATGGGGTTTTATCCTGGTGAAAATGTGGCAATTAGTGGGTGTTAATATTGAACGAAATCATTATAGTTTTTTATGTCATCTTGGCCTTATTGAAAATACGTCTTATCCCTTAAATTGTTTGGAATTACATCAAACTGCACATGGTTCAATTTGTATTTTTCTTTGTCCTTTGCTGTGATATCGACTTGTTGATCATTAAATTTTCTCTTAGGGTACGACAAGTTGGTTCGTTTTATGCGTTAATTCTGACTCATTCGAAGGTTTTTGTAGCAACGTATTTCAGTTACTAAAGCGCTTAAGGAAGTTAGACTTGTGCACGGCGTAGTTGTGTGCTGAACTTTGGTCTAATTAACCTGGCCTTATTTATGTGTGCGCATAAAGCTATGTTGATGAATTAGCAATGTTTTGCAGCTTGATTGTATTCTTGTGGGACTGTTGCTTATTCTATGAGATCGAATGTTATTGGGCTTTTAACCCTCAGGTTTGTTCTAGGCACAGAGGAAATGTGTTTTAGAGCTTCTTTGGGGGGGGGGGGGGGGATTCGTTCCTTGATACTCAGAACTGATGTGTTGTCATCAATCATGTGTGATCTTCGAACTTTGGAAAGTACATATTGACGGCTATGCCGACGTCGCAGTAATTAGGATGAACTTTATTGATCTACAAAGAAATTCATTATTTAACAAAATTAAAAAACGAAGACAAGTAGTATTAAATTTCTTTGAAATTAGCATCGTACAAGCGGATGCGCCTACACTGTTCTAAACTGTTTGGGCTTACATATCTACATCGTATGTGCATTCATTGTCTGGAATTCTGGTCTGCAGTTCTCACTGGTCTATGTCGATTTGAGCATGCGCTTCAGCAAAATTGCCCTTTATCTTTGCTGTCGGAGAGCCAGTTTCTGAATCCCGTTGTTTTCTGGTATCATGCCAAGTTCTGGAATATTGAAGTCTTTTAAGCTTATCTACGTACTTATCAAACATTTTGGACACTATCAAATACAGCAATTCCTTTTATTCAAATAGGTGTTAGATTTAAGGTTTTTTCACGTAAATCGCATCGTATCCCTTCAAATTTTTGTTATTATTATATATTCCAGCTATTCCAATTTTAGTCTAGCTAGTTCGGTCGGTTGCGGTCCTAGTTATTATTTTCCATAAGTGGCATGTCTGTCCAATTTACCACGTTATACCTATTTCATTTGACTACAAAAGCTGATTTTATTGAGTATCTTGACCCCTTATTTAATTTTGATCAATATCGACTAGCACGTATAGTCACTGGTTACTATGCCGATGCGTTTGAACGTGTGCCGTTTAATGGAATTGTAGCTAAACTGTCAACGTTATATGGAGTAGACGATTTATTGGCTTAGTCAGCTGCGCCTTCCTTAGTTGCATTTTTACTAAATCGATGCTTTAAAAATGCGTGAGTGTAAAGGTCCATACCTTCACCTGGTTTCAGTAGGTATTAAATATTTTTAACTTGTTTGAATTCTAATCATTTATAACGTCTACCTGATGATCTATGACTTAGTAAAGTCAAAATGGCAGCTTATATATCAACCTCCTTGACTTCTAAACTGTAAATTAATCAATTCAGGTCGTTTCCAATAGCTTAATAGTTGTGACTTAGGTTAGGATCCTCCTCACTCCGAATAACAGTAGAAATTACAATTTGTAGGAGGTCCATCTTCTTCTCTCTTCCGCGGTGACAATGGTAATATCCTCGATGGGCCTCTTCTAGACTACAATTCATGGAATCCTTCTAACGGTCTTCAACAGGCATCTCAACAGCAACAGCAGAGTGCAGGCATTCCTTCACCTCCAAACCATTTCTTTCAATCACAACCTTCAGCGGGAACTAGCATTTCTGACGCATTCTCTCGTAGAGGAGGCGAAGAAGCGGCTTTTGTCAATGCCTGGAACGCGGCAGGAGCTGAGAGTGTAAATCAGTGGAATGTGGGTTCGATGAATCAACAACCATCTATGTGGAACGCTACCAATGCAATGAGGGATCAAAATGAAACTAATAACGTTTTAAGGCTGGCAAATACTTCTGTCGGAGCGCTTAATCCTGCCCATGATTCATCTGGTAAGTATATCAATTATGGTTTGTTCTCACTTGCCTTGGTGTCTTGGTTTAATGTATGAGGTCATTGATCTGGGTTCAATGCATATTTAAGTCCAAACGCGTTTTTAGTCTTGCTCTGGTGAATAAATGTCTACCATTTCTGCGTTAATTTTCATATTAATTTATTATTCCACAGTGAGTTTAACTGTTTCTTCGTCGGTGCGGTTAAAAGTGTTTGCTACTATAATCAGTGTGCTGTTAAATGCAAATATTTCTATTTATGCCTTATTTAAAAAAATTTTGTTGATTGAAACTAAGCTATAAGTAATTAGTAAATGTGTTTTATGCAGGAAATACGAGGCTCAAAAACTGTTGCCATATTTTGAGAAGTTCAATCTCAGTGATGATTTTCTTTCCCAATCGGAAAAACCTTTTAAATACGTTTATTTGCCTGGGAATATCTTACTCTATCGGATATTATTGAATGCAAAATTATTCAAAACTGACTTATTTAAGGTACGGTTTGGCATTCGTACTAATGTCCCTGATATTTATTATGCCAAAATGAAGACCATATGGGATATTTTGGTCTTTCAAATCCGTTTTATTTCATGACGTCGATATGCATAAGCTAGTTGTTTTATCAGTGTTGGTAGTATCTTTAATCTTAAATGCTTTTGAATTTTCATCAAAATTCGCTTCATATTTTTGTGAGTTTCCATCATCCTGTTATTTAAGGCTTATTCCACATATATTTCATAATTTTTACCAACTATTTTGCTTATTTTCCATTAATAACTTAGGTATTTGGTTCTTATTCGAATAGGCTTCAATTGTATTACTACTTGATGTCTCTTGAGATACATTAAGGTCATTGTTGCTCAAACCCTATGGGAAGGGGATAGAGAACATAACTGCTGATATTTGGCTAGGATATTTGTGATTGGTCGGTTTCCTTCTTGGTTACCAATGCAATTTTCACTTAGCTTTATTTCTGGAGCATTCGCATGAAACAATAATCGGAAAAAACAGTTCCCAAAGTCTATTCGGATGCCTCGGGAATTTTCTAATGGGCTTCTTAGCGCATTTTTATTAAGGGCAATCTGGTGGCATTATGGAGTATAAAAGATTGTGCGTACCAGTAGAATTTTCGCAAACTCATCTATCTTTTAGATCTATTTTCTGTTCTGTGTATGAATTAAACTGATAACATCTCAGGAACACAAAGTGGTTTACCACTTAACCGCAAGATAATGGTTTCATTCTATCCACCTTTATGGTCGATTTTAAGTAAAGTCATCCATAATTTATATAAAACTCCGAGTGGTGACTTGTAAAGCCATTAGTTTTCATTTAAAACCCTAATGTTTAATTGTTTTTTATTTTACTCCCCATATTCTGGTATTTTTTCACTTCTCTGTGCCACTTTATAAGTAATTGTCACGCAGTTAATCAATAGCAATCCTAGAAACGTGATCCGCCACATTGATGAGCATCTCGTGTAATTGCGCATGTGCCAATTTAATCTAAAAACCGGACTTAGAGTCATGCATGTTAAATAGTTGTTTACTGATGGATTCTGCTTCCTTGATCCATTAATTGTTATAACACACACTTCTCTTATGCAAATTTATTAAACATAATTATACCTGGAGGCTGGCATGTTGTTTTGAAAGAAATTGTAAAGTGGAGCTTCAAGTGCTATTAATGTCAATGAGTTTTTAATTGAATGATGAGAGACTGACTAGTGTTAAACCTTCAAATCAAATTATGAACAGCAATAATTTGGTTGGTAGAAAGAAATCTTTTGAAATTTCCTCGGATTTAAGCAGCTTCTGTGACCCCAATTTTAGCTAGACTTTCCCTGTAAATGGGTGTGCGTTGATGGGTTTCAAACTTGTGTTATGAATTTCAGATTAACACGATATTTTATGAATTTAATTTATTTACTCATTCTACGCGTTGTTAATAACCTAATTCACTTTTCAAGTTTGGGCTAAACCTACTATCTTTACTGACCAGTTGCTGTGTTTCCTATGAAATAAAAAGCATACATTTTACTTGTATGTCTATTTAGGTATTTTTCTCCCTTTTCCAACGAAGTCGAAATAGTATGCACGTGTGGAGCCACTTGCTCTAAAACGCCGAACAGCTAAATTTTAATAGCCCATCGCAGCCCCTAGAAACTCATTAGTCAAATCCCTTTTACGAAGCACTGTGGGCCATATCCATTTGGGACCAATTGTATCAGATTCTATTCTACTCAAGTTTCCTATTCCACCGGACTTTTCACGAATGCCATCACCTCCATGTTGGTTATTTTTGAAAATTGCTAAACAGTGCGAACTCTTTCCGTCTCAAATCGTCCCTTTACTTAAATCCCCCTCTGAGTCGTCATACTTTTCAGGATCTCTAATTTTGTCGGTTTGACTTATTGTTTATAAGATGCGCTTAACTTGGTGTGTTTATGATCACTTTATTGAAGTATTTCCGTTGTTTACGCTATATGTCTTATTTCTTCAGTCAATTTCGAGTAATTTATCTCAAACAAAAATGTGAATTGTTTATTTTAAATCCCATGGATGTTTCTTCCATTCTCTAATTTTTATTCATTTTCATTTTCCGGATTTGTTTGTATTGCGCTTTGCTCAGCACGGGCAGCAGAAAATACCGTGCTCTCTTGGAATGTAAAGCCTTCTCCCATGTTCCAATTGTAACCTTCTCTTAATTGGCAAATCGTTTGTCATCATTAGTTGCCTCCCATTTGTCTTTTTATTTAATCACACATCTTATTAGAAGTCGTCAGTTGGTCTTCAGTTAGCAACAAGATGTGTTCTTCATTCTGCTGTTGCCGCTGAACAACTGCTTGTCGTAAAATAGTTCTCAGACGCCCATATTTTAATTGATAACTCGGAACACTCGTCGTGCGTACAAAAAGGACTTATTTGACCATCCGTCTACTGTTTATTTATTAGGCTTCAAGTGCACTCTCCCTCGTAGCATTGATGGTCAAATGTGATCAAATTTAATATTGGTGTATTTTCACGCTCTTGCCCCCCCCCCCGCCCCGCCCCCTGTTAATCTCATTGTCCATAATCTTATGCATCCTTCACTCCTTTTCATACCAACTTATCTCACATATATTTTATTCTTGCGAAGATAGGTGTGAAAGATGTTTCTTAACTTCTAAATTTCCTACATATATAGATTTGAAGTGTTTTGTGATTGTTTTACTATGCAATTGTCCATCTGGAGATCTCTATTTATCGTCATGAAGTCCTGTTTTTACTTGTGTTTTCCATAAACTAGAAAAGTGTTATTATTGATGCCCCCATCAAAATTTTCGTGGCATGTTTTCTGCTATGGTTTGAATGTTTTCATGCTTGGCCATCAAAGCAAAATGTTTTCTTGTCTTCTAATATCACTGAACAGTGTTTAGCATTGATGGTTTCTCTCGTTGTTACCATAAGTCAGGTTGCACTAAACGTTAGTTAAGGAATTAACTAAATTTGCTTTCAAAACACTCACAGTTGCAATCCTAAGTCGTTACTTGCTTTGTTTTGATCAACTTGTTTATTTTGTTTCATTTCCTTTTTAGCGCCCATTGAGAAATAGCATGTATAAAGGCAGCATTTCGCCTTTATTTAATTCGAATGGGTATCAGTCATTCTTGAAGTTAGTGAACTCTGCTACCTAAATTAGATTTTGCTGGCTCCAAAGCCGTAAATATTAGTTTATGCTGACTAAATGGGAGTGGTGCAATCGCACATTCTTTATTTGTACTGTTTCAAGTGTTAGTTTTTTTCCTTACTGGTCGTGAGTTGGTCTTGAGTGGACTTTCCCCTTATTTGCGTTGTTTTGTTTTTCTGCACCTAACCGGGTATTCTTCCCTTTGAGGGGTCACTGATTAATCAAGTAGGCTCTTTTTTAATCAGCTTGTCATAAATGTTGAATGTGATTTCGGATGGTAAACTGGGAACATTAGGAGACACCAAGGAGGATGGTATAAAATTTAACTTAGTTTTATAAGCTTATTTGTATTCAAATTCCGAACTGGTGAAATTACCCCCAGCAAGATGTGAAACACTGACCGAATCGAAGTTTACCACTAAATTGGGAAATGTTTATTTGATTTAATAAAGCATCGAATTGCTCTCCTGTGTAATAAGGGGGGGGGGGGGGGGGGGGGGGGTTGACTATAACCTTTTAAACGTCAAAGTTTAAAATTATTCTCTTTGCTTGATCACCTAGTGTTGGAGTGAGCTCATGAGAACCTTTTGTTTTAATTCAGCAATTAGTCACTTCATTTATTATCTATTTTAACCCCATTCAACCGTGAGTAGGTAGGAAAAGCATTTTAAATCTAACTGAGCACAAAGATTAGTAATAAATTGTTTCATCTTCAAGTTATTAATATTTCGCTATTTTGCTGTTTCACCCAGAACTCCTACGCCTTCTTAGATCTCATTCTGCTCATATTTGCGTATTTCTCAGCTTCATCTGCACTAGCTAGCAGAGGTTAGCGACACAATGACTCCTTGACATTGTCTTGTCTTTCAAAACTATCTTTACCGCTTAAATTTTCCAATTTCGTATATTCTTCTTTTTTATTTCAATCTCTATCTTCTCAATAGTTATGGATAAACTTCGGCGGTAACTGTTTCCCGGTTTTGACTATTCCTTAAGGTTACTCCACGCACATCGCACCTAAGGCATAAAAGATGATTCCGTAATGCCAATTCTGGTTTGTCCTAGGGGATAGAATGAGTGCTAGATTTGGGAATAACTATTGTCTTTTCCCCTAACCCTGTGAACGATCCACTTCTCTTCCTAAGTAATAATTTGGTGTCAAAAGGATGAAGTCTCTCTTCCCAAGACAGCAAAGAAGTGCACATCTTTCCCCGCTCATCTTTGTTAATCCGAGAGACTTGGTGTAGTGGCTCCCGAATCCCCATCCTATTCATTTCAGTTGTGATTGTGCAGTTGACCATGGAAATGTCATGGCTAACCAAGATTCTAAATCAATGAGAAATTTTAATATCTCACAGTCAAGATTTGCATGTCGTCCTTAATTTAAATTATTTGAACCTAAGAACTTGACTAAATTGTAGCAATATCTTGCATTCATTCCAGTCCTTATGAAGATGAAGTTTCATCTGCTATCTGGCATGTTCTCTAGTTGCTCTTGGGTTGGATATTATCATCTTTAAGGACAAAATTACATTGCCTAAAAGTTTTGTTGAATTATTTTTCTGACAAGAGAATAACCTCCAGAGTTATTTCTTTCATTATGTCTGAACACAAACGATACTCAAACATTTGTTTATAAAATTCACCGTTTCTCATTGGTGTCCAAAAAAGTTTAAGGTAACAATTATTAGCACCTAATATCGAATCGTTATTTCATCAGTTTAACTTTGTTAGTTCTTGGGGTTTATTTGTCACAGTGTGTCCTTACTCTCTTCAAATCTTCCTAGTAGAATTTATTTTAAACTTCGATGGGATGGGTAAATCAGACGACTTCTTTTCTCGAATGTGCTCTTACAATTTTATTGGTCAATTTTTTTATTGACTAGATTAATTAAATCATATTCTGTACGTGTGAACGTGAGAACCAAATTGCGCACGCAGATTTGCTAATCTCAAGATTCATGTGTGGTTCAACTCCTGGCGTTTATAGTCGTGTCTCAACCAATCACTAAACCTGTGAATATCATGGTTAATGTTCGTTCTCAAGAGCGACCAAAGTTAGTAAAATTGGAGCGTGGTGCTTCTTCTATCCTTGGATTTCGAGGACTGTCAGTTGTCATAAACGATTTGTAACTAGTATGTTTAAGTACTAGCGAGAAGTGAGTGAACGAAATATGGACATCTAAACGTACTCTTAATAGGACCTTGCTCATCAGATTGCACCTTGGAGGAAGAGGTTTATTTTAATTTTAGTTGTAGATTGTTTGCTAACGTTTTGCGGCCTTTTACCTTTTTTAACTAATGCTTATTTTTTTCGTTAATTTGACGTATCTAAACTTTCTTTACCACCTATCTTATCCACTTGCTTCCTGCCAAGTCAGAATTACATATTTTTTCTCCGAAAGTTATCAAAGTTCGGTAAAAAAGTTATTTCAAATTGGGACAAATTTACTGTTTTAGTCATAGATCCTATTCAACTGATTGATTCAATCATTCACGTCCTTTCTCGTAGCTTTTAGAATGGATAATTGTTTGTACAGAACCGTAGGAGGAGGTGGAAACGGAAATGGTGGGACAAGTGTTAATGCCACTAATGGAATATCAACATCCTCTTCAATGGGGATTTTGCTACCAAATGATGCGGCCGCTATCAATAACACAGCACCACCCTTCACGATGTCAGAAACTGGTGCTGGCACCGAATGGCAATCAATAATGGCAGCTGCTGCAGCCCAGCAGCGCTCCACTATCGCTGGTGCTCAACAACAGCAGCATATGAGAAGATAAATCACGCCGATTTAGACTACAAAACTTCTCGTTCTTTCTCCACCTCTTCTTACCTCTTTCTACTACCTACTTAGGTTTGGGTTTCTCTCTTCTCTGACCCTCTTCCCCAATCATGGTTAGCTGTGATCTTCTCTGTAAAGGTTGTAACCATGTCCACATTATTATTTTCCACTTTTCTCTGAATCAGGTCCACGCTTGATGCAACAACAATGAATACTTCAGCCCCTCCCTCCCCCCCCCCCCCCCCCCCCCTATACATATATTTACGTGTATTACTAATGCAGTTGTTATGAGTAGTATATTGTAAGCTTAGCGTGTGTGCGTATTTGAATGTTATGCATATTGATTACGTAGCTCTTTTATTCTTCTGAAAACCCCTCTTAGCGTATTATTGAAGGCCATTTTATATAACTATCGCTAATGTTATTATTAATAATGATGATGATACTACTAATAATGTTATTCTGACGCTGGTACAACGTGACTATTGCTATGACCTTTACCCTCTCTGTCTCTGACCCAAATCTTACCGTCCTTATATTGCCCAGCCTCTCTCCTTCGGTAATCCCGTGTATTCTCGGTCCATATTATATTATATACACATATATTATTACTAAAGTACACATATCTATAAATATATGTATGTACTCTCCTGGAATGAAATATTGCCTTCATTCTTTGACCTACAATCAAATCTTTTGGAGGGCTATTTCACGTGAGCTGAGCATTTGGTAGTAATTATTGTAAATACCCTTAAAAATTGGTTGTCAAGGCCGTGCATATCAATGGCCATGAGTTTGGTCCTCACTGTTAATAGCACGCCACGAATAGCGCAGTGAGCTTCTATTGCGGAAATTAAAGTAAGTTCTGTTGAACAAAGTGATTATGCAGATGTAAGAGGTGAAATACAAGTTCGTGAACAAATATAGCGTCAGAGAATGGAATGCCTGTGTGTGCAAAGTCCCGCTCATTTAATGTCACTGGCCCCTCACTGGGCTTCTCAGTTGTATCCATGGGTTCTTAGACGTTGTTTGACTTTCTCCCTGGTCCAGTTTAGGGGGGGGGGGGGGGGGAGGCACTAATAAAAGACTAGGGCTAATATTTTGATCAACTTGTGAGACAGCTCTGGTTTATAATATCGACCCTCATTTATGCCACTACTGAATCTTCATTTATTACGAGGTAGCATGCAATTTCGTGACAGAGTGCCCTGAACTCCTGACACGTTTGGGTTCTGCACTTTCGTTGGCTTCGATTCACCCGCGAATCTAGGTTAGAAGTGACTAACCCTCATCCTGATCGAATCTTGATTGGTTATTCCGATCGTTGAATGCACGCTAAGGCATTCCCGTGCCATTTATGAAAGCTTTTTCCAACGCTCAGCTTGGATAGCTTTATAGAGCCCCCTTGGTGGGAAGCTCTAATGCAACCTCTCCCGTCTCCTCTTATGTCCAGGCTCAACTCGTGCACTTGTCTAATGCGTTCACTAAGTGTTCTCTAATGGGCATCGAATCAGCAAATCTCTAACAACGCGCCACCAGTACGCATTTCGTTTCATATTTTTCTCCCCACCTGATTTTCTTTTTTGCTCAAAAACTGGAGTTGTTTTCAGGGATATAATTTTTTAATTACCCATTCCTTAATTGGGTTTCATGCAACCAGCATTTGGACGTTCACCTTCGAGAACATCAATTCCTATTTGCTTGTGGTCAAGTTTTTTTCTAGAATATCAATCAATCGATATAGCTATGGCTTATGGCTATGCCAAATGAACCAACCATCCTTTCCACACAAAACTTACGATATCAAAATGAGAAATTTTTTTCGTTAATAATTCTAATGCGCAAATCAGTAAATTATCTCCTATATTCTTTTCCCAAAGGCATGTTTACTGACTTCAAGAATAAATGAGCGAATAAGTACTATTGCCGGCCAAATTCAAGCAAATTTGAGAGGAAAGGAACTGCAATTGATAAATTTCCCTTCCAAATTGGAAAAAAGGTGTTATTCATAAAATCTTGTATCGAGTTGCGTTCACATTTCTATTTCGGCCAATTTATAAATAAAAAGCTTACTAAATATAAAGTCGAAATGCTTAAACGCGAATCACTACGCCTTGCAGTTTAAGGGTTAGTTAATTACAGGTAGATGATGTTAGATAAAAACTTGAAACGCAAGGGCATCGATGCAAATGTACATTTGGTGCTTTAAATCGCGCTTACGCAGGGAGGTGGTGATGGCTTTTCCGGTCGATTTCAAGTGCTTTCAGGAGGTAGGGGAAATCTGAAAGTCCAGTACGGGGGCGTCGGAGGGGAGTTTAAAGATTCATTATTTCTGAATGAAGGGGGGGGGGTAATTTTTTACTAACATTGTGCACCACACAATAAATTGTGAGTATTAAATGACAAATTTTGACGATTAGAAAAAAATGCAAAGTGAGATCTGTACATGCTTAATCAATGAATTCCATTTCTGAAAATTTAATTGTTTTTTTATGATCATGATCTCATGAACGATACACTACGTGCAGATGACCTTGAATAGAGAAAAAGTTTTAGCAGTAAAGTTCTGCTTAGACGGTAAGAATTGTTTCTACATGTAAGCTACAGTAATGCCCAGTGTTGAAATGATAACTGCTCATATATGTGACTACACAGAATGTGACAAGTCCACGTTAACCCAATTCATCAGCCGAACATGTTACTAATTGAGAAACTGTTCAAATATTCCCCGAAAATCGCGCTGATTGTATTTCTCCATCAATGGCCATTTCATCATGATTGCAATGAGGTTTGCTTTTCCATTCCAAATGCGATGTTTGGGATAAGTTGTCATAAAGTAATATATCAAACGATGATCTACTGTAATTTACTTCTTTCAATTACAAATGATCACCTGAAATTGATCCTTAGAGAGTATTATTCATCAAGCAAAATTCATAAATCAATCAACTTATTTGGTAAGTATTTGAGTTACACAATCCCCCCCCCCCATTGGATCGGAAGTCAAAAATGCTTTTCTGGCATTTATTGTAAACAAAACTTTTTAAATTCAATAGGAATTGAAGCAAGTTTCGAATTTCATAAATACCACCTGCCAAGGAAATCAGTAATGGCAACAATATGACATGATTTGCGTGAAAGGAATTTAGAGCAAAAATATTCTGTGCCACTTCTTCCTGAAATACCACAAATTCATTCTTTTAGAGATGGTTCTGGTATTGTTATATTGCCGAAATTACTAACTACTACAACCCACTGGCATGTAGTCTTTTTCAAAAGATGCCTTTTCATTTGGTAGAAAGTGGCGAAGGCTATTCCAAAGTTGAGTTCTATTTTTAGATCGAGTTGTCCACGTTCCTTTTATAACTCAGTTGCAAGTTTCTGCAAAATGTATTCACATCTGCATGATTGAAAAGACGGAGAATGGGATCATCCTGATTCTTGCGCGATGTCGGATAACAAATTCAATCTATCAAGAAGATTGATCAAAAGTTGCCCCCACATTGTGCTAACCAAACCTACGTACCGGAGAGGAAATTGAAGACTTGCGAAGTTCGCCTTCAAGTTAAATTTTGGTGTATATTCAATACTGCCATTTATTGTTGGTGGTGATTCTCAGCCTTGTATCTGAGACCCGCTGCCTGTTCATCTGGGTCCATGTAAATGAATTTTGTTGTTGAGATGACTGCGCTTAATCGATGGAAGCATTTTTACTGTTGCTGCGAATTATAATTCAGTAAGATCGTTCGAATCTGTTTTGACTAGCCCACTTGACCTTTGTACAGATGGTGATTTTCGTTTCCAGTAGCAAGTTCCCTCCCATGGAAGTTGATTTCCGCCATCCTACTTGCTAGCCAGACTGTAGATAACCTGCTGAGTGTGTATCCATGGTCCCATAATTAGTGTCACCTGACTTAATTGTCGTTAGCGCCAACCACGTATAACGTTTTCTCCTGCCCTGCTATTCTTTATCCCCTTTGACCTATATTCAATGAAGCCACCATAACTTTCCAACCTTCAGACGCTCATCTGGAGTATCACTATGACCCCTCACAGGTGATAATATTGGATTCCACTACCCCTCCATTCTAATCGCTAGACTTTTCAATTTTATGCCCCATTCTGCGGCCATACTTTCTTTTTTCCTTCATGAAGATTAAAATAATGAAAATTTGGCACTAGGAGTACTCATTGAAAATACCATCTGAGGAAATGTGGAGCAAAAGTGGAATTTGGAAAATCGATCTTAATTAAAAAAAAAGTTCAGATCGATGTAGGCATAGGGTAAATAAAAATATACGTACAACAATATAGCAGTGATAGGGTTAATACAATGAATAGGTAGTATGATATAGAGAGCCACACGACTAATGATTTACTTTAATTAGTGATTGAAGAAATAGTCGCTCATATTTAGGAGGATCATTGTTTTGTAGAAACTTGAAGATACACCCCTATCTTCTGGATTCGATTGACACAGACCAACCAAGAATCATCTTTTGAATGTGAAGCAAATCAGAGATAACGTTACTTATATCGTAGGCAGTGCTTTAACATTTATATCCTCAACGGAAATTTGTGCTTATCCATGAATAGGCGTGGAACATGGTCTTACTAAGGCACATTTTATCATTTTCGTGATTTGGTGGTTTTGTAGTGAATTACTATATGAATAAGTCTTGGCTTATCGTCTGTAATATCGATGACAAGATTCCATTACACAGAAAGTGATTAGATTGGAGGGGTAGTGGAGTTCAATATTATCACCCGTGAGGGTTCATATTGATACTCAAGATGAGCGTCTGGAGGTCAGAGAGTTATGGTGACTTCATTGAATATAAGTCAAGAGGGATAAAGAATAGCAGGGCAGGAGAAAACGTTTGGGTACGATAACCCTGTAATGGCTATTGGCTATTGATTTGTCTAGAGGTCCCTGCATGCGTGATCTCAATCGCTCCCTAACGCGATCGGCATCAAGTCTGCTCGTTCCAGAATTTT